TACAGCTCACCTTATATATTACACACTATTATTGTTGTCCATATTTATAGTTTATGTACTATTTATTTTCTTATATCCACAAAAATGAATCTCCTTCATTCTCAGGCAATGAGAATGAGCAGCAAGAAACAATTATTCCTACAAGGGAATGTATCAAATGGCAACAGAATTTTCTAACATTTATCAAATTATATGTTCCCAAAACCCAGTTTCAAGTCAGAATAATCTGTATTTAAATCTCCCAAATCCTTGAATGAAAAAGCTCCATGCAAGAAATAATCATGCGAACAATGTATTTAGATGTCAGATTTCATACATTTATTAAATTGAAATTTTCATTTTCAACTGTTTTGGATGAAAGCCAGATAATATACAACATTATTAACATTTAATTGGAAAGATCCTCATGAACTTGAGAGTTTGCTAGAAATTGAAGAGGCAAGAAGTTATCAATAGAAGAATAAAAGGAGCAAGTGACAAGAATGAAAATAATGCTGCTCAAAGTAGACTTTAATCTACAGGTTCAGAATGCAGGCATTTAGCAAGTGAATCTATAGATGCCAGATCCACAGGCTGGTCTGTAACAAGAAGACTGGCAGCTTCTAGAAAGAAAAGAAATTGGGTTGCAGAAACTAGATCTGTAACCCAGAAAAGGGAAGCCAGAGACACCATAATTCAGGGATCTGAAGCCCCTGGATCCACAGCCAAGTGAGTAGCAGCTTCTAGATCCATAGCCCAGGGAGTGGCAGCTGCTGGAACCAAAGCCCAATGATCCAGCATAGGTCCTCTGGCAGGGACTGCAGAATGTGGATGTCCTCTGGCCATAGCAGGAAGGCTGGCAGGGGCTAGACACCACACAGGATGTCTGGCAGCTGGTGGGCTCACAGCAGGTCTCCTGACTGCCCCTGTAGAGAGAGGAGCCCAGCTGGCAGGTGCTGGGATAGCACAGGTCAGGGCTGTAGACCAGGTTGCTGGGGTAGGAAGAGCCACAGGAGCTTGGGAAGCGCAGGGAGCCCCCAAGGGAGCAGGAGGAGAAGTTTCCAGAGCAGCAGCTAGAGGACATGTTGAGAGGAGATGGGAGCTCAGCTGAGTGGAACTGAGAAGATTCTGAGTTTTCATGTCCCCTTCTGGACAGAGGCATTTATATACTCTCAGCAATAGGTGTGGTACCCAACAAGGGCCATCCTTTACATATTTGTGTTCCCTCATTTACAAATGTGTAACTCAGTAATCTCTTTGTAATTGCTGTTGCGTTTGAATAGTTTTCCTCATAGTGCATTTATGGTGCTATTATTCTGTTGTTACAGGGAAAGCCGAGGAACTATTCCTATGTCAGAAATGCTATGACTGTTTTATATTATTGCCTGTTCCATCTCAGCAAGGGAAGAACTTCCTGCTTCTCTTTTACATGCTTCCTCTTTGTCTACATTTGGCTTTACTGGTGGATGATTTTCTAAGATTAGAGAAAGAGAACATTAATTTTCTTTTGAAATAAAAGATCAGTACTCACCTGGATCATTTCCCCATTGTCCATTATTCCTCTGTGGTACTTTATTATGGCGATCACAAAACACTATCACACTAAGTACGCAGTCACAGTCTCTCTCATTCAATGAAGAGAGCCAGAAAACAGATAAAACAAAGAGACTAGGAAAAAAGATGCCTAAAAACTGAAATAGACCTTGCCATGTTTTTAAGGACAAGTGGACACCAAAGATATCCATTAAAACAGTCCCAGAGGATCAGTCTGGGTTCATTCCCAAGTAGCTGAAAGTCACTTTTTTGATAGGGGGAGAAAATTACCAATGGAGGAACAAAGAAAAGGCTCAAGAATTTCAAATGTTTCTTTTTGTGTTGCACTCTCAAACCATAATTTATCTTGTCCAATTTTCTTTAGAAATCAAAAATTTTCAAAATTAGTATATTTTAGGAATTTTGATACAGCTACCCTCTAGATCTTTAATTATCCAGGGCTTGTACCCTTAGAATGTCTCCATCATTCCACAGTACAGATTTTCTATGACCCCTACTCCTTCCTCAGCAGGTACTACCCTGTCTTGTCCTGTCTAATCATGAAGTTTCTTTCTACCCCAGCTATTTTTTCCTCTGCAGTTTTTTGTTTATTAATATCTCTCTCATTGGCTTTGCTTCTTTATCAATCTTACCTCCATTTGCCTATTTTAATTTTTCTGTGTTGAAATTTGATTTAATCCTTAGTTTTTCATATTTGGCTTATTATTTTTATTGTTTGTTGATTAGTTGGTTTGCTTCTGGTGAGCTCTTAGATCCAAAACTGAGGGGGAAAAAAGTTTGATTTATCATATTCCCAGAATATAATCAGCTATTTTCTATGTTCACTTAAAAATATTCTGCATTATAGCCAGGCAGGTGGCTCACACCTGTAGACCCAGTAGCTGGGGAGGCTAAGACAGAAAGATCACAAGTTCAAGGCCTGCTTCAGCAACTTTGTGAGGCCTTGAGTAACTATGGAAACCCTGTCTCAAAATAAAAATATTTTTAAAAATAAGGGCCAGGGATATACCTCAGTGGTTAAATCTCTCTGAGTTCAATCCCTTGTACAAAAAAAAAATGTTAAGACAAAAGTAGTTAAACTATATTCAGGACTAAAAAATGTATACTGCTGTATTGGTGTCAACATATTCCTATTATATTTTCTAATAAAATCTAATGAAGCTACAGTAATAATGTAAGAAATGGCAAATGTATCGCAATTTTAAAAAGTAACATAATACAGACTTTCTAGAAGGAATGGGAAAGATAGAAGAAGGTAATACCCTTAATTCAAGTAGCTATTCTATGAATCCTTTAGTTTTTATTCTTTAAAACCAGAATTCATGTCTTCTTATTTTGTGCCTCAGCAAGGAGGTTAAGTGTCCTATCAATATGGTATTGCAGATGTTGTTCCTCTCTCATGTTTTTATGGTGTTGTTTCAAATATAACTATTTATAATAACTTTGAAGATAAAATTTAAAAGTTAAACCAGGTGCAGTGGCACATCCCTGTATTCCCAAGGGCTTAGGAGGCAGAAGGATTGCAAGTTCAAAGCCAGCCTCAGCCATTTAATGAGGCCCTAAAAAATTCAGCAAGATTCCGTCTCTAAATAAAATATATTTTTAAAAAGGGCTGGGGATGTGGCTCAGTGGCTAAGCACCCCCAGGGTCCAATCCCTGGTACCCCAGAAAAACAAACAACCCCAAAATACTTAAGAGTTAGAAGGGGACCATACATTTATAGTTCAAAACTGGAGGATTTATTAATTGTTCTTCAGTTACTCTTACTCCTTATTCAAGGATGTTTCTCTGAATCAGTGAATGGGAAAGAGATATTCTTCCCTTCGCTTTATGTCTAAATCTTTAAAACTTTGCCCATATTAAGTTAAATTTAAGGATAATTTATAAATGCCCCAGCTTTGAACTAAATTCATCTCAAAAGTTTTATTGCTTATTCTTTGTAATACAGATATCATTTTTAACTTAATTATTAAATGTTGGACTATTTCACTTAAAGTATATGAATTAGACTTATGCACACAGAGGCTTCTGATGTTTTGTTTATAATTTCTCATCATCGGCTACAGTTAAAGTGATTTTGATACTGGCAGTGTGCTTCTAGCTGAACTGCACCCAGAGTTGAAAGTTACAGCTTTTGCTTCCTACCTATTTCTGTTCTCAAAATTACCATGTTCCTAACATACTGGAGATACTACTTTTATCAATCACTTAAGTTATGACTTTGATAAACACAAGCCAACTTTTACATAAAATCGTTGTTAATCACTTATTCTATTAAAAATTGCCACAAGGTATAATTTATTGTTGTTGTTGTTAGAGGACTTTTGAATTCTCTATTCTCAAAAGTACATAAATTCGAGAAAGATACCATAGATATTTTTCTTAAACATGCCATATGCAATACTAAATCAGATTTCTTCTTTAATATATTATTGGGATTTTTCTCCAGGAATCATTTTATTAAAATTTTATGAAGAGGAGACACACTGAAAGTTGTCCAAAAAAACACATTGATGAAGCATCCAAATATGTTTTTTTAATACATAGTCCTCCCCCCAAATATTGAAAACTTGGATTCAATATAAGCTCTTTATTTGGGAGGTTATCCAGGTAAACACCTAAATGGATAGGGAAAATCCAACAAAGAATAGAAGGAGCACAGACAGGGTGCATTATTACTCCAGCTGTCACTCTGGGACTGTTCCACTGGAGTTCAGGTCTAGTGGAGGATCCCTGGTAAGAGTGCAGCATGCTTTTGAGAAGTGAAAAAGACCATAGACAGAATTTTATAGATGCTCTATAAAATCAGTCTTCAGTGTATACAAATGATTCCCCATGGGTGATAGGCAGAGTATTCACAGCTGCTACTGAGGGTGGCATGTCCTTTTGAACACCATAGATAACAAAACAGATGGAAATAAGTAAGGTAGCCTCTGGAAGGATGATACTGGAATAAAAGACAGAATGGTATAAAACCATGAGGTGAGTTTTAAACTGCATTGTGACAGAGTAGAAAGCAGATGCATGTGGTATAAAAATGACAGTGTTAGAAACTCAGGCTGGAAACACTCAACTACAGCATTTGAAATTGCAGAATCCTGGAAGGTTGCTTCTATTGCAATTGAAGCTACAGCAATGGACTTTTAAATGGCCAACCTCATGGTAGCTACTTTTTTTATTTGAGTCATTCCTATATATTTTGAAAATAAATACATCTTTCAAAATTATATGAGTAATTGCACGTGGCTGAAAATATTAAACCATTTGTTCTAATGTACATAAAATACTTGGATAAAATGTATGGAAGTGTGTGTGTATATATGTATATGTGTGTATGTTTACATGCATATGCTCTGTGTATGTATTTAAATTTCAGAGAAAACTGAAGTCAAAAGAAATGAGCATGCACCTGTAGCTGCAATTCCCTTAAAATTCTATGCTGATTTTCAAAGTAGTGATTAAGAGACTGAGGGAATTTTCACAAACTCACAGAACTAGAGAAACTAAATTGGAATTCAGGCCTTATCAAAGACTTCGGGCTCTGGGAAATATCCCAGACCTTAAAAAACCACTTCTTAGAAATAAAATTAAATTTCTACTAGACTGCTTCTCATAAGGACTGAAGCCCAGGTTTAAATTCTATCAATCCCTGATTGGATTAAGATGATCTAGGATACTGGTGTCTTTATTCTAGCAGCCTGTCAGAAAAAGAAGAAAATTCTCTCTAGAAAAAGGTTAAATTATCGAGGTTTTTTTTTTTTCATATAAAGTATGTATTATTCACTCCAAACATAATAAGAATAAAAGAAGAAAAAAACTCAAAAGAACACAAGAAAATAAAATCTGAATCACAGGATCCATGTAACGCACAGGACAAAATCACACATTAAAATACAGCCGTGAATCACATAACCATGTTTCAGTCGATGACAAATTGCACATATAGTGGTAAGTCCATAAGACTGCACCTCCCGGTGACTCAGAGCCTTCTTTGTTCAAGGAGACCTCATGGCATTGGAAAAGAGATGCCCTCACATTTCTCATTAAATGACACATGATTGCACCTATGTGAAGAATTTTGCAGTAAGAAATGAGAGCACTTTATTCTCAATAAAAAGTATGTTTAAAAAAATGTAGGATAAGACAGAATTTTGGTGGAATATTGAAAACAATGCAATAGTATCTAACCAAATTTAAGAAATTTGAAATACAGTAATGAATTTGAAAAACTTGATGAGTTTTGAGGGGAGATTAAACATAGCTTCATAGGCAGTGAACTAAAATAGAGAATAGAAGAAAATTCCCAAACTGAAACATAAAGAGACAAAAGATTTGAAAATGCAGAAGAGATTCTAAAAGGTATATTCCACCTAGTTACAAAGTGTGACTTCTAATTGGAATCTAAGAAAAAGTAGGAGCAGATGGGACAGACACAATATCCGAAGAGAACACAGTTGAGAATTGACTGCATTGATAAAAGGTAAGAACTCACATGTGAAATTGTAACAAGAACAACAACAACAAAATGGTGTTGGCCTGTCCTGACCAGGGTGGAGATGGCTAAAATGTGGCTTTAGTGGAGATTTCTCAGAGCCAGTCTGCAGATGGGCTCCAAAGACAAACACCTAAGTAACTTAAAATCATTAAACAACAGAAATGATTTTCTTTTCTAACTCTAGTCAGTATGCCCAAGAGGAATCACTCATTTCAAATTCATTTGTAAACACTCATTGATTAGTTATGTCCAAAAGAAGTACAAAAATATTCAATATATTCAAACTTCCTACATTCTTCTTCTTCAAAATCTCCCCTGAGAGAAGGCTGAAGGAGAGAGGGAAAGGGGTTCCTGAGCCTGGACAGAGTAAGGGTAGTTCCTTAAAATTTCAGTGGGGAAAATGTCAAAGGTGGCAATTAAAGAGTTCCTTTCTACCAGGAACCCATCAATCTCTGCTGGCAAAGTCTTTACCTAGGAGCAGCCAACAGAAAGCAAGGTTTTTGAAAAATTGCAGTGACATGTTATTGGATCACAGCAGGTAGACTGTAAGTCAATCAAGCCTTCTGGAGTGTAAGGTAAGAGGAGTGAATTCCCCAGAGAGCTACACAAACAGATGAGAACCCAGTCCAAGCACGGTCCTCATGTCATATACATTGAATCTAAAATTCTTCTTTCTCTCATCCTATGAGTTTTTACCACTTTAATTCTTTTTCTAAGGGTGTAAATAGGTCACTACTTCTGACTCTGTCTCAGTTCTGTTCTTCACGGCCTCCAAGACCCCAAATAGTTGCTCAGGTTTCTCTCTGGTCCTAGGCCTCAGTATTATTCAGTTGGTCTTGGCTCATATTTTCCCTCTCCATAGTGTGAGACACAATAGGACAATGATATGGAATCCATGAATGGTAATTTTGAAAAATGAGAAATGATGGCAACAAGTTATTCCCCCGTAATATCCAGTGACAAAACAAATAGAAAGATGCCAAGAGGAAAAGGAAAGGCCTTCCTGGACAGGATAGAATAGCACTAGGGTGAAACAGTCAGAGCATTTCTGACATAGGAGTGTTTATTGGCTTTGGCCATAAAAACACAATCATAGCACCCACAAATAGACTATGTGGAAAACTATTCAAATGCAATTACAAAGAAATTACTGACTTACACATTTGTAAATGAAGGAGCACAAGTATGTAAAGGATGGCCCTTGTTGGGTACCACACCTATTGCTGAGAGTATATAAATGCCTCTGTCCAGAAGGGGACATGAAAACTCAGAATCTTCTCAGTTCCACTCAGCTGAGCTCCCATCTCCTCTCAACATGTCCTCTAGCTGCTGCTCTGGAAACTTCTCCTCCTGTTCTCTTGGGGGCTCCCTGCGCTTCCCAAGCTCCTGTGGCTCTTCATACCCCAGCAACCTGGTCTACAGCCCTGACCTGTGCTATCCCAGCACCTGCCAGCTGGGCTCCTCTCTCTACAGGGGCAGTCAGGAGACCTGCTGTGAGCCCACCAGCTGCCAGACATCCTGTGTGGTGTCCAGCCCCTGCCAGCCTTCCTGCTATGGCCAGAGGACATCCACACTCTGCAGTCCCTGCCAGAGGACCTATGCTGGATCACTGGGCTTTGGTTCCAGCAGCTGCCACTCCCTGGGCTATGGATCTAGAAGCTGCTACTCATTGGGCTGTGGATCCAGTGGCTTCAGATCCCTGAATTATGGTGTCTCTGGCTTCCCGTTCCAGGGTTTCAGATCCAGTTTCTGCAACCCAGTTTATTTTCCTTCTAGGGTTTTCCATTCATCTTGTTACCAGCCATTATATAGACGGGGCTTCTAATCATTAACCTCTTGATTGGTCAAATCCATTTAGGAAATGCAAATTATATAATAAATTCATTTATTAATTTCTTCTCTGAGAAGCATTCTGATATTCTTAATTATGACCTTCCTATTATTTTTTACCCTCAGATATTGGCTGGTACATTGACTGTCAAATTATAAAATTAATAAATAATCCAAATTGTATTGTTGCTAGAAATGATAGCTTTTGCATTTCCCTCTAAAATAGCTGAATAATTTTATTTTAATAAACTCTTTATTATATCGTTCAATTGTGTTGTTAACATTATTATTTTCTTGGAATATATTGACTAGAATTCGTATTGCCATTACTTGCAGATGTGGGTTTGGAAAGCTACAATTTTCAGGTACATGCACAAATTTTGATCAGGTTTTAGATATTTTTTCTTATCTAAGAAGGAGTTTCCTGGATACTCATACTCATTTGTTTTCTCTTAACTAGAATGTAAAGAGAATTGAATATTCATGTTCACTCAATGAATATGCCTTTCATCTCTAAGTTTAGAATGTATCAGAAGTTTGAAAAGTACAAGGACAAAATTTAGCTTTACGTGATGAGGTCTGTGCATAAATAATATTAGAATGAAGACTAATGGGTTAGTATAGATTTTCAGAAAAAGACTCCCTACAAATTTTAAGTATTCACACTGTAGGAGTATCACTTTTTATAAATTGTCTAAATCCCTGACCTTCAGTTACTATTTTCAATATGCTCAAATTATCTCCATTTGTGTAAGAAGGCAGCCAGCAAACTTAGAAAGGAAAAAAACCCCAAAAAACTAGGCCCAGCAGGTGTGAAGATGCACCTGGGTTCCTTGCCAACACATAAACTAAGTCTAATTGAAAACATCAAAACCTTTACTAACATCAAAAGCAGCTATCTCAGTTATGTCTTGAAATGAAATTGCATAGGCCTGTTTTTTTTCTACTCCATTCTTCTTACATCCAAGTGATATAGAAAGATACTATCAAGTAAAAATGTACTTAGGCAGTATGATAATAAAACAACACTCAATATTTATATAGTACAAGTGATGTTCAAATATTTCCCTTATGCTTTGCTTAAGATATTCTTCACTTAAGATCTTAAAACATTCTCTGAAATTAAAAATGCAATGCAGAGTATTAGACACTTGGCAAAAAAGCTAATCTCATAGCACATCACAGTTATCTCCTCATGTTCTCTTTCCTGTTTTACTACCAAACCAATAAAATATTAAGAATAAAAGGAGTTCATTGAATTTGAAGCACTTATTCAGAGGTAGAAACTAAAATGGAAGAGCAAAATAGAATTTTTAAATGTTAGACAATAACTTACTGTTGGGCTATGGGTAGAACTACTTTATTGTATTGAATTTGAGACTTTTGCTTTTGCATTTTATGTTTTGTTTTTCTTTGTTTTGCTGGGGGTATGCTGGGGATTGAACCCTAGGGCCCTTTACCACTGAACTACATTGCCACCCTTTTTATTTTGAGACATAGTTGCACTAATTTGTTGAGGGTCTAACTATGTTGCTGGGTCAGGCCTTGAACCCCAGTTTGTTCTGTCTCAGCCTCCTGAGTAGATGGGATTATAAGTGGGCAACTGAGCACCTGGTTATTGTATGAAATTTGTTTCATAATTTCTAACCAACTGTGGCTTCTTTTATGTCTTCTCTTTCTCCTTTGTTTCCTGTTTCCTTCTCCTTTCTCTTATTTCTCCATCATATTTTAAAAAATATTCATGGCACTAATACAGTTAAAGAATAAGATAAAAGAACAATGAAAGAAAATTTGGGGGGGGTGACTTAAATCAGTGATTACATTGTAAATATTAACATAGAAAATAGTGAACTCTGTCCTTTGAATAATTTCATTTGTTTCCAATTTTTTGAGATCCAAGCTATCCCTATGCTAACATTCTTTGCAAGGATAGATTGCCAAGTTTCGTATCCTAAGACACTGATAGCTGCTGGGTTTTCCCAAGGAGCTAGTGTAGCTTCTTGGCTGAACCAAGAAGCTACACTAGCTTCTGTCTCTATACTACACTATTACTATCTCTATATTTCAGAGGAAAGAGTGGTTTCCTGGGTCTCAGAAATGCAATACATGTGGTCCCTAGCCTTTGTGGTTCATCTTGTAATATTTTCATGTTAGAGTAGTGCCAAAGTGTTGCATAATCAGTAGAAACCTCTCTTCAAATTTTGAATTTTAGTCTTCCCCAGGCTAGTGATACGTGGTGTGTAAAACTCATGATTCTCAGTAGCAAGGAGGGTCTACAACCAATACTCTACAGGATGCAATGTTGCTAAGCTTATTTGGTAGATAAGTTGTATTCACTGCATTTCTTACCTGTGATATTTTCAATTTACAATGAGTTTACAGGGTTGTAAACCTGTCTTAAGTCAGGAAGCATCTTTACTCTCTTAGTTCCCTATTACTGCCATAACGAACTAGATCAAACTAATCAGCATAAGCACCACAAGTTTTTAATCTTAAAATTTTGCATTAGTTTCTGAACTTCTCAGCATGCATTTTTATTTTTTATTCCAACAATTAAATATAGTACACTAAATAACAGCCTTTCATTTTTTGTCATGTTAACCCACTCTCCACAATTAACAGAAGGCCAGCACTTATCTATGTTTTATCTAGGTACTTCCACTCTTCCAGCTTCTCCTGCTGCGTATTTTGACAAATGCATATGGCATGGATTTTTAAACCCAGAGGCTTATATCCCAAGCATCTGCTGCCCACACAACTCCTCTTCCAAAAGCTGCTGATCATCTGTCTACCAACTAGTTTGCAGTTCTGGTTCCCAAGAATTTATATAACCAGATTACCAGGAATTCTCTCCAGAATCATTTCTAGGCACTTGATTTTATAATTTCTATGTATTAATTCTTATTTCATTAGTGTTTGTAGGGAGCAGCAGTGTCCCCCCAAATCCTTGCCCAAGTTGTTTTGTTGTTGCTGCTCGACATGCCTCAGGACACACTGTCAAACATTTTGTGAGCACAGGTTGAGCATCCCTCATTTGGAAGTCCAAAATCTGAAATGCTTCAGTATTTGAAACTTTCCCAGTGCCAAAATAACACCACAAGTGGAAAATTCTATGCCTGTACTCCTGTAATGGCTCACAGTCAAAACAGGTGCATGAAAAACTTTGTATGAAATTACCTCCAGGCTACGTGGGTAAGTTGTGCATCAAACCAATGAGTTTTGTGTTTAGACTTTGTCCCATCCCCAAGAAAATCCCATTATGCATGAGCAAGTGCTCAAAAATTTGAAAAAAGCTAAAATCTGAAACACTTCCATTCCCAATAATTTGGCATAAGGAATATTTAACAATATTTAATAATCATTTTTCAAAATACACTCATTCAGTCATTACCATAAACCAAAATCTGCACTATAGATGCACACTGTGGAATATATTTTTTTAAAAAACAAGTTTACACTTGCCCATCACTCTATATTAAAGAATACTATAAAGAAAATATATAATAACTATCCTTATAAGGCTAAGAGTCTAATACCAAAGCAAATATCAAATAAATAATTATAATTATGATGAACTATAGAAAAGAAGTTCTTAATAACATGCATCAAAGGAAATACATTTAGTCTTAGAAATCAGGAAAAGTTTTCCACAGGAATAACATTTCAAATAGGTTTGACAAGTACCTAGCCGGTAGGAAGCTGGGGCAGGGACAGGTTATTTTTAGACTCAAGATCTTGAGATGTGCATTATAAAATTGGAAACCATTTTGGCTAGCCATTGAGAGAAAAAGGGAGAAATGACTTGAAATGAGGCCACAGAGGCATTTTGTAGCCATTCTTTGTAGGTATTTAGAGGTCTCATTCTTGAGGACAGACTTTCTCCTAAAAGCAATAAGAAGCTACAAAATGGTTTTAGGCAAAGATATGAGATTGGCTGATTTTTTTTGGTTTTCTAAATAATTTTTTATTCAGTTAGTTCATTATAATAAAATGGACAAAATTTAAAGGACAAAGAATGATTTTTTTGACAAATATGCCCAATTGTGTGACAACTTGGTCATGATATACAACATTTCCCTACCTTGGATCACTCCTTCATGCTCCTTTTAATAAATCTCTACCTCCCAGAACCAAGGATTGCAATAACTTTTATCACCATAGATTAATCTGCTTCTTCTGGGAGTTCATAAAAATGAAATCATACAATATTTCTCGCCTATCCAGCTTTTTTACTCAGCATAATGTTTCTGGGATTCTTTATATTGTTGCATATGTTTATTTTATTGCTATCTCCTGTTTCTTTTTGTCAATGTATTATCATGTGTTTATTCTTTCACCCATTGATGAATGCAGAATAAAACAGCAAAGGATAAAGCAGCAAAGGATAAAGCGGCAAAGGATATTGATTGTTCCAGTCCTTTGCGGACCTATGTTTATGCTTTTTTTTTTTTTTGAGAAAAATCTAACAATGGAATTTCTGGGCTATGATATGAATGTTTGCTTAACTTTACTGGAAATTGCCAAACATTTTTCTAAAATTATTTTTCTCATTCTACCCTCCATCACCAATGCCCTGGAGTTTTAGGAACTCCACACTATGAATAACATTTTTATTCATATTTCTTTCAGCCATGTGGTGGATCCCAAGTGGCAGTTCATTGATATTTCAAGTTTCATTTACTTAGAAACAGTGATTTTTGGCACCTTTTATTTTGGCTATTGGCCATCCCCATGTTTTCTTTTAGGTAGTGTATGCTCATTTTTCCACCTTGATTTAAATGGGTTGCAGTCATTTTATTGATATAAAAGTTGAAATTCTCTACATACTTGGGAAATAAGTACAGCAATAATTTGTGCACTTCCCTGATAAGCAATAGGTTCAGAGAAACAGGAACCTTGTTTTTAAGAATTGCTTTTAAATTTTGTCATTATAGAGTAACATGTGAATGAACATATTCTCCTGGAAAATATATCAAAATATTTGTTCATCATGCATTCCCTAGAAACAGTGCCAGATGAATATTATTTTGAGAACCCACTGGTACTGATAAGATGTTTGACAATGTGCTACTGAAGCATGACTAATACAAAAAAGCATTGGAGTTAAGTTTGGCGGGGGGGAACAAAGCTGTTATCTGTAATCACTCATGTGACAAGAATACATAAAAAGAAACTGGTGAAATCAGTTACATAGAAATGACTCATGATGAGTCTCCTGGGAAACTGAATATATGAATTCATCATGGTTAGAAGTACAGGTTGGCTAGGA